CTAACTTATCACCTTTTCTTAAAATACAACAAATAATCTCTTCTTCCCATATCCTATCTCTTATCTATAAACTAATCTTTAAAGCCTCATCATTTCAGTCCTGATCAGCAAAAGTTCATTAAGGATTACCAGAGATAACCTATGTCTTTTAACCTTAATCAAATAAACCAACTTTATATTCCTTCTTTTTTTATCTTGATCTTTAGTCCCTTCAAATATACGTAGTCCTCACTATCCAAACATTCATTCAGTGACTGTTCGAAATTACACCAGTGCTGAAAAAAATGGACTTATGAACTGTGCCTGAAGTTACAGCCATTGCCCTGCCCCTGCAGTCACATGATCAAAATTTGGGGATTTGGCAGCCCACCCACCCTTATGACCACAGGGGTGCTGCAACTCACCCACCCGCCTATCTTTCCCCCCATCTATGCCTTTTGTCCCCCTTGCACCCTGCCTTGCAGGGCAGCAAGCCTCAGCAAGCAGCAACATTCGCTCATGCACCACCATTCATTCGCTCCCCCCACAACTGGCACATTCCCTCACTCCCTGCAAGCAGCAGCATTTGCTTGTGACCCACCATTCATTTGCTCCCCAGCTGCCTTCCCTCCCAGTTCTCCACAACACCCTTTCTCTTTTTGCACCCAGCCATTGTAGCTGAAGCAGAAGTGCCTGGCTCTCTTTGCCATCTTCCTGTTCAGACCCAGCTTCTCCAATGAACACATGGCTTTTTTTTCCCATGTCATTCTTGTAGCCTGTCATTTTTAAATCTACTTTCACATCAGTCTCAGTCTTGTCAGGTAAAACTTGTTCCTATTCCATAACATCTTTTAAACACAGTCTGTCTATAAAGACATTCTTAAAATTAGCTTCTGGGCCCATCATTCAAAAATATCCTTCAGTATGTCCAACGTTAAAATATGTTGCTTCATTCTATATTTGTAAGTTGAATGTAAGTGTTCTTCCTTAATTATAATCTTTAGTTCCTTCTAGTTCCCTCTAGTGTCCAACCTTCAAAGTCCCATCC